ACCGCCGAACAAATGAGTTTTAAATTTCCTTGGGGGTGCACCCCGGACTACAGTGGATCGGGTGTTTTCATGTCATTATAATTCTTCTGCCTTCTGAAGACCTCCCCTGTTTTTGTGGTGCAATTTCTGCCCATTACGAACGAAGGGGAAAGCCGATCTTTGTGGTGTGGCGTTCTTAGGAGCGGAAATTGAGGAAAGTCGTTTCGTAGTGAAAGATTTAGATGTCTGCAATTTAGATCCACTCCCATCTTTCTTAAAGGTTGTTCACCAATTATTGAAAATATTGATCGCAAAAGTGTACCACAAGTGGAGAACATATTATATTTATTTAAAACAGGTTTGGCCAACCCGCTGCCCGCCTTGAATATTTTCCCAGCCCGTGATATTTATCTGACTTTTTACAAAATATATATATTTTATAATGACCAAAGTAGTGAAAACCAATGTATTAAAAAAATACGCTATTTGTGCATCCCTATATTCAAAAATCTATATTCAACTCCCGAAATTATGAGGAAAAAATTAACTTTGATTTTAAAATAATATTCTTGCGAATATATGACAGATATTGTCTGTTTTATAAACTGTTATGAGTTCGCAGAATAATTAAATTATATTCTGTGAACTCATGAGGCGCGTGCATCTTGGAACATCTAATATAACAGGTTCTATGTTTGACTTTAAGTGGAATAACTATTATATATATATTAACTAACTATATATATATATATTAACTGTTATATATTATTTAACACTTAATAATTGCACTTATTAAGTGTTAACTGTTCCTATATATATTATGATGCATTTCCAAAGTGGCCTGCAAGTTTATTGGGGTTGGCCACCCTGATTTAAAACATGAATGAGAAAAGAGAGAGAGAGAGAGAAAATTAAATATTTGCTAGATGTCCTAAACTCTTGACCCTATGTTGATGCGTTTAGATTAAAGTGCAAAGAAATGAAAGTTCCAACTGCTTGCTGTGTTTTCAGAAATGAAAAGGCTTGTCCACACTGTTCTTTAACTATGAGCTGTTTGATAGAAGTTTTTAGTTTCTCTCTCTTTTTCCATCGTTAAATATCATAGAAGTTATATAATAGAATGTCGTAGAAGTTATATATTATATAATTTATTTAATACCATCAATTTATGAATAGCAGTGTTTTTTAACACACAATTAAAATGCTCAGAATATTATAGTTATTATTAATTGTAATGAATCAATTGAATTGAAAAGTAATGAATGCTGACTGCAAATACTTAATTTGTTGATATAAAAATATCATCGATTTAATCGATTGGTAACTTATTGCTAAAAATTGTGTTTCGTTTGAATCAGGTATAGTCAAAAACCTCTGTAATTAAAAATTACTTGGATATTAACTTGAGAATTGATAATATGCAAAATAACTTTTAAATTGATAATATTCAAATTTTTAAATAAAAAATAAACGCATATATGGTTGGCATATATATATTTTATGAAAGGAATTAGAATTTTAAATATTTTTAAATATAAAAAAAAATCAAGTATTCTTATGAATCACAGATTAATTGTTAATAATTACTATTGTTATTGAAACTGTTTGTTTTCATTAAGGAAAGCATATTAATTTTGCATTAACGCAAGATGAATTAAAAATTATATCTATGTTTTTAAAAACTACAACATATAGAATAAATTTATTATTTTGTCCCAAAAGTTCATAGGCAAATATTACGTAAAAAAAATTAAATAATTGACAAAGCTTTTGATAAAGCAATTTTTAATTATTTTAAATAAATAAAAACTTTACTATTTTTTTAATTGATATCAAATATTCCTGCCACTAGATGGCGCCCTTCTTAAAAACTGACTATGATCATTTGTTATGTAAATGTAAAGAAATAAGGAAAAAAATGTACAGTATTTTGAATTTATTTTTCATAAAATCACAATTTTATTCGTAAAAATAAATACTTACAAAGTAAAGAATTCCTGAATATGAATGATTGTTTTATTAAACAAGTTATTTAAAATCCCAAACCTTTAATTCTGCGCACAAATAATTTTTCTAAATAAAATTTAACCAAAATTAAAAATGTTATTTAACCTTAACCATGCAATTTCCTGGTCATATCTGCTAGCAAAAAAATAAAAGTCAAGCTCAAATTATTATTAATAAATGTTATGCCGCCCTATAAGTAGGAAAGTATGCTAAGAAAACGACAGGGAACTGGAATGAAAAGAGAGTGAAAATGACAGGGAAAAAAAATGGCAAGAAAGAAGAAGCAAAAAAAAAAGGAAAAACTGTCTCTTCCCCCGATCGATCGGTGGGTGGGGGATGGGAGGGCCACACATAAACGTACTTGAGAAATTGCGGACATGCATGCATAAAGATAAAATATATATGTTCCCGCGCAAGGACTGCTTTCGCACCCTGTGTACTGCGATGAAAATGCAGGCAAAATATTCACACGCCTTGCAAGGCTCGGCTTTTACTGCCTGGGCCCCAGAATCGATGCTGCACGTGCGGCTTGCAGTTATGCAGAACAGAGTAAATAAGAGTTCTGCTGTGGTACCGGCCGTGTTATCTTTTTATTAGAGTCGATCCGTGAAGTATATGCACACGCATAAATTCTGTTAAAGGAACTTCTTATAGTATATATTTTTTTCTCTCTCTCGATTTACATAAAGTGAATGTTGACGGTTATTATTCGCCAATGTATATTCCTTAAGCATATATATTTTGTGTATATATATATATATATATATGATTTTAATATTGTTCTTATATGGGCACACTATAATAGTTATAACAGTAATAGTATATCATGAGTATAAATACCTATCCAGCAAGCATAATGGATTATAGCCATTATAGATTGTGGTTTATCGGTAGATTAATTACTTGAAAAGTATTAATTATTCGACAAGTATTGATTTAAAAACAGTGTGTTACAAATGTACATTTTAATAGATTACATTCTCCGTAATGGTTGATACCGGATCATCATTACAATTTGATATGACATGTTATGCATTTCAGTACATTAGATTTTCTGTGATGATAGATTCCGAACCATTACAATAATTTATTACACATATATACTTCACATATTTCAATATTTTAAATTCATTGAGTTGATTGATATCAAAACATCAATATAATTTGACATATATATATACATTTCAATATACTACTTTCTCTGTAATGATAGACCCCGAACTACTGCAAAGATTTGTTACATATATATAATTCACATATTTCAATGTATTAAATTCAACGAGATGATGAATATCAAACCATCATTATAATTTGATACAAATATAGAGTTTACGTGTTATACATTAGATTATCCGTGATTTTAGATCCCGAGCCATTACAATAATTTGTTACACGCTACATTTCATATATTTGAATGTAGCTAATGTTTTCAAGATGATTGATATCAAAAAATTATAATAATTCATTACAAGTATAGAATTTACATGTTATCCATTGCAACATATTATATTTTCTGTGATGTTAGGTAGCGAACCATTATACTAATTTGTTACAAATATACAATTTTCATATTAGATATTTTCGTACATTATATGCTAAACAATGGTAGATAAATATTATAATAATTTATTACGAATATATGTATAATTTACATGTTATATATTTCAATATATTATATTCGTCATGATAGTGATACTTTCAATAAAGAAATTGAAAGTTAATAATTCTAAATACATAAATATATCAAGCAGCATTGTCTACCTAATTATAAACGCACGTCCTACTATAAAAGGGAATAAAAACACTAGAATGACATGGAAGAAAGATCGAGAAAAATATGTACATATAGAAAAATATAATTTACTCTCTGAAAAAATTGCTTTATAACAGGGATCACCCAAACTTTTGATCAAAATTCCAATGTAATTACCTCACAAACTCTTGCTGGTAGAATACCGTATCATACAAAATCAACATACCGTAACTATTCTAAAAGATAATTGACATTTTCGGCGCACTACAATAAAACCTTTAGAAAATGTCGTGCACATTTATATTAGCATTACAAAAAGAAATTACGCCGGATGTTCATAAAATACACCAAAATAAAACCTATTGATTTTCTCGTACATTTATATTAATATTTTAAAGATAATTTAGGTAGGTAATAGAACAAAAATAAAAGAAAATAGTATCCAAGTTAAAAAAAAAAAATTCTTATCTACTTAAAATCTAACATTTTGTTTAAAATTGGCAGAAATATCTATATTCAAATACAGTACTGAAATTCAAGCAAAACATCTTTTATTTAAAATGTTATTTCACCACAGATAATCACTTAAAATTCATGTATAACTGCAAGAATTGCCAAACTATCAACATAAATCTGATGTTATGATGTTAAAAAAAAAATTGATTTTATTAAATATTATTAAAAAATTTGGTATATTGATTAAAATTTACTAAATAAATTAAATAGTTGTTATTTTATTGAGAAAAATAAATGAATAGATATATTTATATAGAGAGGAAAATAAATGTCAAAAAAAAAAAAGAAATACAGATTAAAATTTTAATTTAATATTATTCTACAATGTCATAGGATATTATTTGAGTTGTTTTGTGTATAGTATTGTGTATTTTATGTTATAAATAAATAATATATATTTGGGCAATATTTTTTGTTTCAAAAAATCAGAAATGGTAAAATATTTCTGATTTTTACTATATTTATGTATTAATATATATATTTCTGGTGGTGTTACCAGTATATCAGTATTGTAATTAATTTCTAATAAACTATATTATACAATACTTGAAAAAAATGGAGTAAATGCTTCCTGTGGTAACACAAAATAATCATTTGTTATTACAATTATTTTATTGTAATTATTATTGAAAGCTGGCAAAAAATTTAGTGAAATAAACCTAACATAAAAGTGAAAAAATAATAAATCTGTGTCTGATACGTGGTAATGACAAAAACTAAAAATAAAGACTCCAACATCTCTTGACATCCCCTGCCGGGATTCGAACCCGGGACCTTTGGATTAGAAGTCCAACGCGCTATCCACTGCGCTACAGGGACCCTGCAGAGATTGTAGCGTTTGACAAATCTGTCTCGCATCTAATCTTGGACAGGAAAGTAAACCTACCATAGCAAATTTTTCAAAATGTTAAGTTATATATTTATTTAATTAATATATCAGAAAACAAATTTGTTTATTTATTTTATTTTATAAATTTTTTTTTTAGATTTCGAATATCTTCATTAACAAATGTCTCTAGATAAAAAAAAAAAGTAACTTTATTTTCGAATGATTGTATTCTATACTTAAAATCTCTATATGTTTGATTCTAGAAAATTCTCTAAATTTAATAGAAATCTTGATTTGATTATCAAATACGGAGATAAAAAATAATCAAACATATGTAATTAATTATTTAGTCAAAATACATTGGTAATTAAATTAGTAATAAATGCAAAACAATAATAATACTAGACGAATTGTACTAGCAAAAAATAAGATCAATACATATATACTGATACGAAAAGGAATCAAAGATTTCGTTTTTCTACAGTAATTACTATTTAGTATTTTTTTCATTAATATTGTTTATTATCAATTAAAATTCCTTATGAATTTTTTTATTATAACTGTAATTCTTTCTTTCTTATACAAAACAAATTATAAATTTTTTTTTCTCACAGGTAATTCAATAAAATAATGATAGAAATAGTAAATACATTTGTATATTTAAAAAGAATGAAATGAAAAAAGTACAAAAAAAAATCTCAGAACTATAGCTACTAGGTGAAATTTTAAAGCAACTCATCTTATATTTAAACTTGGATTTTTCTCATTTATGATTAGGACTTTCTTAAACCAAAAAAAGTAACTAAAATTGATTTGATATAAATTGAAAAATTAGATTATTGTTTTTACTATTCATATAAATGATAAAAATATGAATTTCAAACAAAAAATATTTAATTATAAGTTTAATTAACTGAATTTTTTTTTGTAGTTTTGATTTAATGTTTTTTACATTTTGAAACAGTAAGAAAGAGATTCATGTCATAAAATATTAGTCACTTTTCAATGAATTCAGCTAAGGTTTATCCGATTACTATCTGTGTAACTAATTCAAAGAAATTTTCCTTAAATTGTGATTCACTTCAAAGACATTTGTTCACTTGTGGGGAAAATAGAGGAAACCCAAGAAGGGGAAAACTTTTGTATGTCACTATAATTCATGATTTAAAGACAAAAACGAAGAAATTAAATTTCAAATTTGTCAAAATTATTGAAATATATGTTTTATGCAGAAGTAGTACATATTTTTGTAGTGGAACATATTTTTAATGGAACGTATTTGGTGTTGAAAGTAGAAATAGAACGTCATTTAATGTTGATGTAGGGGAAAAAAAAAAAAAAAGAATTCGTCATTGTCATTGAAATTTTTAATGGAACCGTTTGCGTAGGGAAAAATGTTTCTCTTGCAGAATTCACAGTTGGTTAATCACTTTAAAAGAAATTTAAAAAGAGACGAATTAAGTTACTTATAAAAACAACTTTATTTTATGTAATGATAAATATTTATGTTCATTAATTATTTTAAAATTTAAATTTGTCCTCTTTTTTTTTCTTTTTTTTTTTTTTTTTAACATAAAACAGTTTTCTGCAAAAAGAATTTTTTTCTTTTCGTCTGTGGCAACACTGCTATAGATTTAAAAGTAAAACTTTATGAATAGACACATTTTTTTAAACGGAAATTCATGAATAAGTCATTAAATAAAGTCCATGACTTTAATTACTCTTTACTAAAAAAAAAAATTTTTTAAATCCGGAAGTATAGTAAATCGAAACTAAAACTATTTGGACTAAAAATGCATCAAAGTAATTTGAGAGAAATGTTTATAGCAACGCAGTTCAAAATTAAGTGCGAATTTTACCCTCATAATCACAGTTTGTATCTTCGTGGGCATCATGATAGCTGCATGTTTCCAGCTCATTTAGCGATTTTATGTCATTAGCATAAGTATATGCATGCAATACAGACTATAGACACAGCCTATTGAATTATACTTAGTAAGTAATTTTAGGAAAAAGAAACCAGTGCTGATTTTATGTATTACTTCCTGACTGCATGCTTTTTTTCGATGAGACAGAAAAAAAATTGTGAATATATATCCATAAATCTTTGTTTGAATAAAGCGAATTTTATATTTTATTTTATGAAAGCTAATAATAATAATAAATCATTCTGAAATTTAATTAAAGTATTTTTTTCAAAACAAATATATATTATTACTTCAAAATAAGAAGTAAATTAAGTTTTAAAATTTGAATATTTAATATCACAAATATTAAGTATTCACTAGTTTACATTTCAATATTCTAGCATTAAATATTCAATAGTTAATATTTCAATATTCGAATGTTATTTATTCAGTTGTACGTTCAAATTATTAAGTATTTAGCGCATTTAAATTATTATTTGTTTATTAATTAATATTTGTTTGAAGACTAAATTTTAAAATTCGTAAGGCCACCAAGGGATAGGGCAGATGCATATTCGTAGAAGTACACGACGTATTTCTTATAAATAAAAGGTAAAATATTTTTAATAAATTAAAAAATAACGACATGCAATATGGAAAGACATTTTGATGAATATAAATTTTAATTATTGTTAATATCAAAAATAATTAATAATTAATCTCTTAATTCTATTTGTTAATTTAAAAAAAAAAAAATCTGGATTAGTTTTATAACTATATATTTGTGAAACCAAAGTTCAAAATCTTTACTTTTTTTTTTCTCTATTTAACTGTAAAATCACAAATAATAAATAAAAATAATAATAATAATAAAAAAAAAAAAAAAAAAAACCAGCCAGTCATTTTATTTATAACTGATGACATTAAAACGTTCTATTTTTCTTAAACAGTAAAAAATAACATTGGTAGTTATTTCTCGTTACATTTTCAATTCAGCCGATTAATTGCAAATAATAACAGCAATATTCTGACTAAATTGTTTTTGAAATAAAAACAAGGGGTCGGGTAAAAATTACAAATATGCATACACTAAGATATTTACTCAAATTATTTCAATCTGTTTAAAGAAATATAATTTTAAACAAAGTTTATTTATTGAACGTGGAATCAGTCATTTGCATGCTGTCCAATTCATTGCATTTTCAAGGCCGTATAATCATCATTTTATAACTTTTTAAAAAGTTTATTTAATACAAATGTATTATACTTATTTCAGATAACAAGATTATTTTGAGCCAAGACTGCTTAAGTGGATATAGGTCTTGAGAGGTACATTTTGGGGATGACACATTTGACTAAAAGAAAATACTTTTTGAATCGTATTTTTACTATATGCAAAATTAAAATTTTTTCTCTATTTATCCTTAATTTTCTACTTAAAATATTTGAAAATATTAGAGTTTGACAAATTGAAGGGAAAACCCTAGGTCCCTGTTTTGAATTATTCTAACAGTAACAAGTAAAATATAAAAAAAAAAATTTTGAAGTCAATTCTATTTTTTTCTTTCACTATATCGCAGAAAGTCCTTTATAAATAATTTTCGCATTCATTTATTTAAGTTTATCTGGCGCCATCTATTGGTAAATATATGCAACTTAAATCTAAAAAAAAACTAAAATTAATTAATTTAATTTAAGCAATGAATTAATATTTTAAAAACTGTATTAACACAAATGCCATCCACTACAAGTTCAAAAAAATGCATTTGAAATTGAGTGGATGAATAAAAAATATTTTATGAACGATTGAAAATTTGAACAAGATATATATAAGAGAGAGTGTGAGCTAATAGAAGGAATTAAATAAGATTATTGTAAACTATTTTGGTCCTTCTATTTTGTTACACATTAAAAAAAAATATTTTAGTTGTAGTAAAAAAAATGTTTTTTATCTGTGTTTATTTAATGTAATAATTAACTCAATGTTTAAAAGCGCAAAAACAACTGCAATTCAATTTTTGGCATGATGGCTTTGAAGCATTGTTGAAACTATTTTTGCATTGTTTATCTTTAATACAGCAAACTAATCTAGTATTTTAAATAACATCCGTTTATATATTTCTTTTACTTTTCATATTTACAAATCAGGCTTTTATATTTACATTTCGTCTTATTTCCTACGCTGGAGTTTTTACATTAAGGAGAAACATTTCTTAATATCGAAAAAGCAATCTAACTCTTGTGACAAAAAAAAAAGAGTGTGAGGGGTTACCTTTTAATTCTAGTTAATGTAACATTTCGAAATAAATTTTGAAAATCCATTTCTTAATTCATATTTATTAGCAATTTAGTGTTAAATTTCACCTTTTTATGTGTATGTTGCTGTTCACTGCTGTGCAAATATCAGCAATTTTGCACCTTAAATATATATATACATGCATACTGGTTTTGCAATTTGGAGTGAACTTTTTGATGTATTACTTAGTAATTTTATATGTATTAATTATTTTTTGTATGTATCAATGTAGTATAATACTAGAACACTGTTAAGCCATTTGTTTAAATCACAAATTTATTTTGACTACTTTTACAAAAAAAATCATAATATAAAATTTAAAGTCAAATAATTTTATTTTTCATCTATAATAGAAGTAAGTGTAATTGCATTATTGTTATGTATATAATATTGGAGAATTATTTCAATTAAGAATTCATATTATTAATGTATTTTGATTCATAAATAAATTTTTAAATATTGCATATTGTTTAAAAGGTAATCTTGATATTTTCTAACGAAATCTTGTAATGATTTTCAAAATGAGTTTTTTAAATTTGGATAATTTAATTATAATGGTCCTCGAAATTGAATTTCAATTTATTATAAGATCTTCGAAATGATAAGAACTTAAACAAGTTCGTTAGATATCTAATTAGAAAGAAAGATAATAAGATATGAAAATAAGACTCGTAAGATTTTATATACTATATTTAACAGATAAGAAAAAGGACATCAATGAGTCTTGAAATGACAATTCATGTTTTAAATCTATTTGTGTTTTTTATTTGTAAATTAAAAAATATTT